AGCAGCATAGACATAGGGCTGTCATGCGGCAGTTAATTGCACCTGCTGACCATTGGGGCGGCAGTATATAAGTACGGCCCTCCTTCTCGCACGCTCACTAACGCATCATTTCCGGGTCAGGTGTTTGCCTGTGCAGGTAATGCTCCATGCCGCTGCTGCGGCTACTGCTCTGTTTCATCTTTTACTGTGTCCTGTTGCTTAAAGCCTGCGTGTTTTCACTGCAGAGCAGCGACCGAGTGCCCCGTGCTTTGTGCTCCATGCTCCGTTTAGACCTTGGTTCTCTCTGGCGGTGGTAAGTGTCCTCTCTCTCTGTGTTACACCGAATGCTATCCTGTAGCTAACGCTAGTGTGGTCACAGGTAGATGTCCGCTGCCGTGTGGGTCTCTCTCTCCCTCCCTCTCCCTGTGCAGGTTTGACTTTGAAAACAGGTATGCTACCTTAAATCTAACTCTCAAAAGCTTTGATTAATGTAGTTTAGCTATGCTAATGGTATGTTTATTGACAGGGAATGCTCGTCAGCTGGCCGAAATCTACAGGTGGCGATTCACGTGCCTTCACCACCAGCTGATTGGGACCGCTGCTGTTTTGTCTCTGCTTTGTCTCTGCCTTGTCGCTGCTTTGTCGGTGTTTTGTCTATGCTTTGTCTACACTGATTTATTTACATTGCTTTGTCCGCACCGCTTTGCCTCTGCCGTTAAACACACGGTTGCTGTGTTTATACCGCTTTGTCGACTATATGTCTGCTGTTGTGCCCCTACTGCTAGCTGCATAGCTGTGTCTCTGCTGCTGTATGTGACATTGTCCCCTGCTTTGCCTCTGCAGTCACTTATTCCTTGCTGCCGTGTTCTGCGGCTCTGGCTGCTTGGTGGCTTCTGGCTACAGCCGGCTTGCATGGTGAACTGCAGACACCATACTTTTAATCTGTTTATCTCTTTTATTTTAGCTGAACGATGGTGAGGAGTTAATCCCTTATTTTTGTATTACTTGTTTTGTTTGTTGTTTTGATTAACTAGCTTGGTAAGCTTAATTGGTTAACTATTTCCTGCTTTATGTTGTATATTGTTTTTATTATATTTATATTTTGTGTTAAATACTTCCATTGTAACTTTTGTTTTCCCTTCTCAGTGGCTGCAGGCTGGTGGTGGTGCTGGTGACGTGGGTGGTGGTGTCCCTCCTTCTTGTGTGCTGTGCTTCCTTGGATTCGGTGATACCACAGTGTGTGACTGCCACGTGTGTCTGGGTGAACCCTTTTTCTTTAATTTAATTTTGTTGACTCCCCTTCCCCTTCACCTGCTCTTTCCCCACCAGTAGGCCTCAGCCCCTGATTAGGCTCCCTTTTTCATTTATTGGGATGAATGCTATTTTTTTATAATGATGTATATATATTTATTAAATAAAGTATTTTTGTAAACTGGGAACCACGTGTCTTGCCTGTCGAGTGGAACGAACCTGTGTTTTTGGTCAGTGTAAAATAATTCCTTGGGTGCAATTCCCAAGGTGGCGTTGTCGTGCAACCTAAGATTCCCATTGAGAGAACATTCATTTTTGTTCGCAGCCCCGCCACAATCTGGCGTTGTCGGCAGGATCTACTCTTCCAACAGGCAAAGACGTGTGTTCCTTGTGGGTTTTTTTTTTTTCCATTGTGTTTTTTTTCTCTGGTGTACTAATGTTGTTTTTCTTGTAGGCATCTGCACGAATTTAAAGAGACAAAGCAGCAGTGGTTTCCAGTGGACCTTCGTGCCAGTTTTGGTGAGATTTGGTATAGCAGATTAGGCCTAGGTAGTAGTTTGAGCTTTATTGTAGCTATGGAGGAAGAGTTACAGGAACTTAGAGATCTGATTAAACAGTTAAAGGCTGATAATGAGCGGTTACGACAGGGAACAGGCTGGCTCTAGTGCCTTACCGTCCACCTCTTTTGTGCCACCTACTGCCCCTTCTACTTCCAGTGTCCCTGTAACAGAGAGGCTGGTGTTTGTGCCCCCGTGATAGGAAGTGTCCTGTTTTTAGGGGAAGGACGGGTATGGGGTTGAGTGAGTGGAGGGAGGAAATACAGGCGTGTATGAGGTCCCGGCGTTTATCCCGGTCTGACCAGGCCTTTTTCCTGTTTGACCACCTAGAGGGTGAAGCTAGGGAGGAGCTAAAGTATCGTCCTAGCACAGAGAGAGAGGACCCTGATAGAGTATTGGCTATTTTACAGGAGCTGTACGGGTGCTTGGAGTCTTATGTTGCTCTGCAGAAGGCTTTCTTCTCCAGAAGGCAGCAGGAGGGAGAGACTCTTCAGGAGTTCTCCCTTGCTTTGATGGGCCTCATGGAGAAGGTGAAGCAGCGTGCACCTACTGAAGTGCCAAATGCAGAAGCTCTTTTGAGAGACCAATTTGTTGAGCATGTGCTGGACAGTGCCCTGCGTCGTGAGTTGAAGCAGTTAGTGCGTAGACAGCCCAATTACACCCTGCTTGCTGTTAGAGCAGAGGCGATTCAGTGGGAGCTTGAAGGTCTACCCAGCGGTGTGAGGGGCCGCAGTCATTCAGTCCCCTTAGTGTTTGGTGTTCAGTATGGTGTTCAAGGTAACCCGCAGGGCGTTTCTTCCCCCCGTGTCAGAGATGGGTGAGATGAGGGAGATGCTACAGCGTCAGCAAGAGCAGCTTAATAAGCTCACTGAAAGCATTGCCCGGCTGCAGGTCTCATCAGCACAGTCACCCACCTCGTACTGGCCCAATGCTATGCAGGCGCTGCAATCAGCCTGGCCATTTTGCGAGGGAGTGTAGAGTGCATGCTCCCCGCTCACAATCCCATTCACAGCCTCCATCTAATCCTGGTAGGCAGTCTCATTTTGCTTCTGGGTCGGAAAACTAGTACCCACCAAACTGCAGAGTCACAGTTTGGGTGGGGCTGCTACTGGCTCACAAGCTGCTTCACGCGATTTGGATGCGTCTGGATTGATTTCGTCGTGTCCCCATTTAGATGTGGACATGGGTGGAGTGAAGGTTCCTTGTCTGGTAGACACCGGCTCCATGGTGTCTACTATTTCTGAGAGCTTTTTCCGCCAGCATCTCGAGCCTTGGGGCCAGGAGCGTCTCCGTTCTTGTCACTGGTTGGAGCTTAGAGCTGCCAACGGTCTGACTATTCCTTACCTTGGGTACTTGGAGCTTGACGTGCAACTTTGTGGTAAACTGATGCCCCACTGTGGTGTGTTGGTAGTGAGGGACCTACCTGGTGGGGTGCCTTCTAAAGTGCCGGGTATTTTGGGGATGAACGTGATCCGCAAGTGCTACCAGGAACTTTTTGGCCAGTATGGGGAAACGTTGTTTTCCCAGGTCTGTATCTCAAAGGCCCCTGAGCCAGTTGTGCAGGCACTGCAACAGTGCCATCGTGTTAGCGATGTCGCGTCCCAGGATGTTCCCGGGAAAGTGAAGGTCAGGGGTAAGAGGGGTTGGCAGATTCCTGGTGGGGTAATGAAAATCTTGGCAGCCACATGTTCTGAGCAGTACTCCGGGTCTACGGTGCTATTCGAGCCTTTAGAGGCTGGTTTACCTGCTGGGTTGCTTGCTTCCCCTTCTTTGGTTCGTGTCATCAGGGGCACCGCCTACATACCTGTCATTAATGTTGGCTGTAATGATGTTGTTTTGTACCCCCGCACTGTTGTCGGCACACTGGATTTTGTGAATGTGGTCAGCCTTCCTTCCGGGGTCACTGAGGTGCCATCGGGTGTGGCCACCGTGTCTTCTCAGACCGCTTCCCCTAGTGTGCAGCAGGTGGAGAGTGTGGATTTGTCACCTTTGTCTGTGGAGGAACAGGGTCCAGTGAAGTCCCTGCTTCAACAGTATTCCTCAGTCTTTTCCATCGATGATACTGATCTGGGCTGTACAAATCTAATCTCCCATGACATCCCTTTGGTAGACGATACTCCAGTGAGGCAGCGCCATAGGCGCATCCCACCCTCAGAGTATGAGGTGGTGAAGGAGCACATCAATCGTCTACTCTCATCTCAAATCATTCGGGAGAGTAGCAGCCCCTATGCGTCCCCTATCGTGTTGGTACGAAAGAAAGATGGCAGCATGCGCATGTGTGTTGACTATAGGCAGCTCAATAGTAAGACCCGAAGAGATGCCTTTCCTCTGCCACGTATAGAGGAGTCATTGGATGCCTTGTCGGGTGCTCGCTGGTTCTCAACCCTGGACTTGACCAGTGGTTATAACCAGGTGCCAGTCACTGAGGCTGACCGGCCGAAGACTGCTTTTTGCACCCCTTTTGGTTTGTTCGAATGGAACAGAATGCCTTTTGGGCTCTGTAACGCGCCCAGCACTTTCCAGAGGTTAATGCAACGCATCTTTGGTGACCAGCAGTGTCAGTCCTTGCTGTTATATCTGGATGATATTGTGGTGTTTTCCTCTACTGTGGAACAGCATGTGGAGAGGCTCCAGGTGGTGCTGGAAAGACTTCGGCATGAGGGCCTCAAGGCCAAGCTCAGTAAGTGCTCATTCTTTCGTAAAGAGGTGAATTATTTGGGCCATGTGATTTCGGCCGACGGTGTCTCCACAGATCAAGGCAAGATTGACGTGGTTGCCAATTGGCCGATTCCTACCACTGCCTCAGAGCTTCGTTCCTTTCTTGGTTTTGCCAGTTACTATCGGCGCTTCGTGGAAGGATTTGCCAAACTGGCAGCTCCTCTGCATAGGGTGGTGGCCGAATGTGGTGGCACTAAGACCAATAAGAAGACTGAGCAGCGGCTGTCTAGGTGTTGGGATGATGAGTGTAACCAGAGCTTTGAAACACTGAAAGCTAAGCTCACCATGGCACCAGTGTTGGCTTATGCAGACTTTTCTCTTCCCTTCATCTTGGAAGTTGATGCAAGCTATGGTGGCTTGGGTGCAGTCCTTTCCCAGGCAAGGTGAGGCCTATAGCCTACGCTAGCAGGGGCCTGCGACCCACCGAGAGGAACATGGTAAATTACAGCTCCATGAAACTTGAGTTTTTGGCCCTTAAGTGGGCCATGACGGAGAAATTTCGAGAGTACTTGTTGGGTAACAAATGTGTGGTGTACACTGATAACAACCCCCTTAGTCATTTGTCTTCGGCTAAGCTGGCTGCTACTGAGCAGAGGTGGGCCGCCCAGTTGGCTTCTTTTGACTTCGAGATAAAGTACCGTTCAGGGAAGAGCAACACTAACGCAGATGCTCTCTCACGTCAGCATCCACCTGGTCCCCAGGATGTCGCTGCGATGCTTCCAGGCACTGCGATGCCCAATTCTTTGCAGCAAGCTCTGGGGTTGGGAAAGGCAGAGGCGACCCAGGCTGCCACTGCCGCCTTGCCCCAGCACACTTGTTCTGATCTCCATCTCGCTCAGCAGTCTGACCCTGTGATACAGGAACTGTTGCCTTTTTGGAGGGAGAACCAGCGTCCCAGTGGTGAGGAGCGGGCACGGCTCTCGCAGCCCACGCTTGTCTTGCTCAGGCAGTGGGATCGCCTACTGGAGAGGGACGGTGTCCTGTACCGAAGGGTGTGTCGTCCTGATGGAGCCGAAGCCATGTTTCAGTTGTTGTTGCCAAAAGCATGGGTAGATCAGGTTCTGACCCAGGTGCACCAGGAGCATGGTCACCAGGGGGTGGAGCGAACATTGGCGCTCCTTCGGTCCCGATGCTACTGGCCTGGTATGTCTTCCGAGGTGGCTCAATGGTGTCAGAGATGTGAGCGGTGTCAAGTGGCCAAAGATGTGCATCCAAAAGCACATAGCTTCATGGGGCATCTCTTGGCTTCCCGCCCTAATGAAATCCTTGCCATCGATTACACGACTCTAGAACCAGCCCAGAATGGTTTAGAGAATGTTTTGGTGCTTACAGATGTTTTTAGTAAGTACACTGTGGCTATCCCTACTCGGGATCAGCGTGCTGCTACTGTGGCCAGGGTTTTGGTGTCGGAGTGGTTTTATAAGTTTGGCGTCCCTGCTCGTTTGCATTCTGACCAGGGCCGTAACTTTGAAAGCACCCTCATTCAGCAGTTGTGTGACCTGTATGGGATTGTAAAATCACGCACTACCCCATACCATCCGGAAGGAAATGGTCAGTGCGAGCGTTTTAACCGGACGCTCCACAACTTGCTGCGTACCTTGCCAGTGTCCCGGAAAAGGGATTGGCATGTGTGTCTGCCTCAGGTGTTGTATTGTTATAACACAACTCCCCACCCGTCAACCGGAGAGTCACCCTTTTTCCTGATGTTCGGGCAGGAACCCAGACCGCCCATTGATTTCTTGTTGGGTCGAGTTGAGAGCCCTGTTGGTGGCTCTATCCATGAGTGGGTTCAAGAGCACCAAGCCCGTTTGCAAGTAGCATTTGAAGGAGCACGAGAGCGCTTGAAACATGCTGCTGATCGGCGGAAGCGAGTTCACGATCAGCATGTCAGAGATTTGCCATTGCAGGAAGGGCAGCTTGTGTATTTGCGTGACTTAAGTACTAGGGGGCCCCAGAAGATCCGGGATCGGTGGAGTTCTGTGAAGTATCGGGTGTTGAGAATGCCTAAAGAAGGCGGCGCGGTGTATACTATTGCGCCAATGGACAACGAGACCAAAGTCAGACAGGTCCACCGCACTAGGCTGAAGGCTGTTGTAATGGTGGACTCACCTGGTCATGCCACTTCTCATAACTCTACCTCTGGCGAGGAATCACCCCCAGCAGAGGAGCCTTCATTTGAGTGATTTGTTGATCTTAGACCAACCATCTTATGTGGCCATTTCTGCCATGCACTCCACCAGATCAGCTGTGTCTCAAGTGCCTGCAGCACCGTCCGGAGCATTAACACCTCTAGTCCTTCCCTCTGTCACTTGTCCTGATTCCAGTAACATGGGCCCACGCCGGACCACACGTCAAACGGCTGGTCAGCATTCAAATGTGCATCATTTCCCACAGTCTGCTGGAGATGCTTGTGCCGCTAATCCTCCTGCTTCTGTGTCCAACTCAGTATCTGCTTTGTTTAGACCTTGGAGTTAGCTTGTTGTACTAGCCTCACTTTGTTGATCGTCGGGACGACGATCCAAGGAGGCGGGGTAGAATGTAGCAGCATAGACATAGGGCTGTCATGCGGCAGTTAATTGCACCTGCTGACCATTGGGGCGGCAGTATATAAGTACGGCCCTCCTTCTCGCACGCTCACTAACGCATCATTTCCGGGTCAGGTGTTTGCCTGTGCAGGTAATGCTCCATGCCGCTGCTGCGGCTACTGCTCTGTTTCATCTTTTACTGTGTCCTGTTGCTTAAAGCCTGCGTGTTTCACTGCAGAGCAGCGACCGAGTGCCCCGTGCTTTGTGCTCCATGCTCCGTTTAGACCTTGGTTCTCTCTGGCGGTGGTAAGTGTCCTCTCTCTCTGTGTTACACCGAATGCTATCCTGTAGCTAACGCTAGTGTGGTCACAGGTAGATGTCCGCTGCCGTGTGGGTCTCTCTCTCCCTCCCTCTCCCTGTGCAGGTTTGACTTTGAAAACAGGTATGCTACCTTAAATCTAACTCTCAAAAGCTTTGATTAATGTAGTTTAGCTATGCTAATGGTATGTTTATTGACAGGGAATGCTCGTCAGCTGGCCGAAATCTACAGGTGGCGATTCACGTGCCTTCACCACCAGCTGATTGGGACCGCTGCTGTTTTGTCTCTGCTTTGTCTCTGCCTTGTCGCTGCTTTGTCGGTGTTTTGTCTATGCTTTGTCTACACTGATTTATTTACATTGCTTTGTCCGCACCGCTTTGCCTCTGCCGTTAAACACACGGTTGCTGTGTTTATACCGCTTTGTCGACTATATGTCTGCTGTTGTGCCCCCTACTGCTAGCTGCATAGCTGTGTCTCTGCTGCTGTATGTGACATTGTCCCCTGCTTTGCCTCTGCAGTCACTTATTCCTTGCTGCCGTGTTCTGCGGCTCTGGCTGCTTGGTGGCTTCTGGCTACAGCCGGCTTGCATGGTGAACTGCAGACACCATACTTTTAATCTGTTTATCTCTTTTTATTTTAGCTGAACGATGGTGAGGAGTTAATCCCTTATTTTTGTATTACTTGTTTTGTTTATTGTTTTGATTAACTAGCTTGGTAAGCTTAATTGGTTAACTATTTCCTGCTTTATGTTGTATATTGTTTTTATTATATTTATATTTTGTGTTAAATACTTCCATTGTAACTTTTGTTTTCCCTTCTCAGTGGCTGCAGGCTGGTGGTGGTGTTGGTGACGTGGGTGGTGGTGTCCCTCCTTCTTGTGTGCTGTGCTTCCTTGGATTCGGTGATACCACAGTGTGTGACTGCCACGTGTGTCTGGGTGAACCCTTTTTCTTTAATTTAATTTTGTTGACTCCCCTTCCCCTTCACCTGCTCTTTCCCCACCAGTAGGCCTCAGCCCCTGATTAGGCTCCCTTTTTCATTTATTGGGATGAATGCTATTTTTTATAATGATATATATATATTTATTAAATAAAGTATTTTTGTAAACTGGGAACCACGTGTCTTGCCTGTCGAGTGGAACGAACCTGTGTTTTTGGTCAGTGTAAAATAATTCCTTGGGTGCAATTCCCAAGGTGGCGTTGTCGTGCAACCTAAGATTCCCATTGAGAGAACATTCATTTTTGTTCGCAACCCCCGCCACATTATCACCGGCTTAGTTAAAGGATTCCTAGCAGGTTTATGCTGGCTCCCAAAAGTGGATTCTCCACCTGCAAACTCCATTTCGTCTTGCATCTTTCAGATGATTTCCTAGTAGTTGACTTTCCCTCTTCCCCGCCAGCTCACAGTATCTCTACAGTCAGAAGCTTGCTCATGCAAGCATCTCTGCACAAGACAAGCTGTCTCGCATCAGAACACCTATCAAATCCTAGTCTGCTGCCTCCATTTTTTCTAAAAGATTCTCTCTAACTTCGCTATACGCATTATCCCTTATGTTTGTTCCTTCATATCACACTTGCTGGTTTAGGCTAAATCTGTTTAAAATCTTATATAAATACTGAGTTCTTAGACAAAGGCTGTTGCTCAGATTTGTCCTTGTTATGTGACGAATAGAACAGCATTTCTTTTTTATAATTACTACGTGGAATCTGCGGATTCCCTCCAGTTTTGACTGATGCGGTGCCTTCTGTTGTTTTTGGGGATTCTCATAATGAGTGGTTTGCAGATGTCTGGCCTGCCGGAATTCAGTCCCTTAAAACTCGTTCTAAATCCACTGCTTTTTATGAACTCTATCCAATTGTCATTGCTTGATTGCTATGGGGCAGCAGATGGTCCAGGAAACAAATTATGTTGTTTTGTGATGCTGCTACAGTGGAAATAATCATAGTCTGTGCATTTATTGTTTTACTTGAATCCCGTCATCTTCAAATGCAAAGTATCAAAGCTGTGCTAGCAGGGTTTCAGTTTCACATTCGATATAAAGATCCAGCATCCCAGAATCTTCTGGAAAAATCCTTCCCTTCAGCTGCTCCTCAATGGCTTTAAAAGCGCATCCTCCAGGCAACGATAAAAGACTCACATAATTCACTGGTGCATAATTGGTGTTAAGGCAGGTTGTTTTCACTTTATATTAATGTATTGTTGGAAGCAGTTCTGCTAATGGCTTTTACAGGTTTCTCAGGTGTAATATACATGCAGATCATATGTTAATCCTCAGCATGATCTCCTCTACTCTGATTTAACCTTAGAAGATCACATCACATGTACTCAATATTCTTGAAGCACTCACAATCTGAAAGATCTCACTCAAATTTCCATTGCCAAGACTAAGACTAAATTTTGTCCATTCTCTTCTATGATGAAATCCCTGCATCATCGCTCTCCAACCCATCAGTTGGCTCCCTTGTTTATCGTCGATGGTTGCAACCCATGACGAGATCCTGGTTCCCCTTAAGCTGCATGATCTCTGCCTGAGCTGTGGCCCACCCTCCGAACACTATTCCCTTCACTCCCTAAGATTGGTGCAGCTGCAATCGCAGCTGTCCATCTGCCCACATCTACCAAGGGTATGTCAGTCTCCACAAGAAGGAATCTTGACTGCACAGAAGCTCATGAGCGCCTGCTCCTCTTAATGCATTTAAATACTTGTATCTGCTGCCAAATATATACTTGCATAGCAGGTGATTGTTGGGTTTAGATTATTTATATATTTGCTTATATGGCAAATGTTCTTGCATGAGGTTTCACTAAGTAGTATGTTCCCTCATGGCTTGAGGTGCTCATGGGGAATGGCCACACAGCAGGCCTGCTGCCAAGGCCCACACATAGCAGTTTTACTAGATGGTATATTCCACTAGGGCCAAGGTGCTTCCAGGGAATAGCCACACAATAGCTGGTGCCTTGGCCCACACATAGCTAGTATATTCCTCTCATATCTTATTTTTTAACAATCATAGAGATGTCTGTTTCATATGATCTCTATTATAACTTTCAGTCCATCCTTTTCATAACGCTAACCTTCCTATAGTATTAGACACCCAGTGGCCACTGTTCTTAATTTGCACTTACTCTTAGGTAACTCAGCCCCACTTTTGTGGTGTGTTAATGACTAGTGGCAGCGTTATAATGACGAGCAGCTGTCTCAAAGGATGCTTCCTTAATTAGAAAGCATGGGAGTTTTTTAACTCAGCCATTTTAATTTACGTCACGCGCATACATACATACAACTGCCCGCTGAGCTCCCAGCCGGAGGGGAGGACACACTCGCCGTGACGGAGCGTGACGTGAGGAGGGTGTTTAAAAGTGTGAACACCACAAAAGCGGCTGGACCAGACAGGATTAGTGGACGTGTCCTCAAAACCTGCGCTGATCAGTTGGCACCTCCGTTTACAGTGATATTCAACCTCTCACTCAGACAGTGTGTGATCCCAACCTGCTTTAAGAAATCCATAATAGTCCCTGTCCCAAAGAAACCACACCCCAGCAGTTCCAATGACTTCAGGCCCATAGCCCTCACATCTGTGGTGATGAAATGTTTTGAAAGACTGATCAAGACATTTATCTCCTCTACACTGCCCACCACCCTGGATCCACTACAGTTCGCATACCGGCCGGATAGATCCACAGATGACGCCATAACCCTCCTCATCCACAAGACCCTTTCCCATGTGGACACTGGTAAGGGAAACTATGTGAGAGTGCTGTTTGTTGACTACAGCTCAGCATTTAATACCATAGTCCCCTCCAGACTGGCCTCCAAACTGTATGACCTGGGTCTGGACTCCTCCCTGTGCAGGTGGATCTACAGCTTCCTGACTGGCAGACCACAGGTGGTTCGAGTGGGTCACTACACTTCAGCCCCCCTGACTCTCTACGTCAGACTCCAACATCATCATCAAGTTTGCTGACGACACCGCTGTTGTAGGACTAATCTCCCACGACGATGAGACAGCCTACAGGAGGGAGGTCTCCCACCTGGAGGACTGGTGTCGGGAGAACCACCTCCTGCTGAACGTCAGCAAAACTAAGGAACTGATTGTGGACTTCAGCAGGAAACAGCAGAGGGACTTGCTAAATGGACCTGTATTTGTATAGCGCCTTTCTAGTCTTCCGACCACTCAAAGCGCTTTTACACTACGTGCCACATTCACCCTTTCACACACATTCACTCAGTGATGGCAAAGTCCATCGAACAGAAACTAACATTCATACACACTCACACACCGATGCACGGCATCGGGAGCAATTCGGGGTTCAGTATCTTGCTCAAGGATACTTCGACATGTGGCACCAGGAGCCGGGGATCGAACCCACAACCTTCCGATTAAGGAACGACCTGCTCTGCCTCTGAGCCACAGCCGCCCATCCACTCACTATCTGTGGCTCTGAGGTGGAAAGAGTGGACAATTTCAGATACCTGGGAGTGACCATCTTACAAGACCTGTCATGGACTCATCACCTGAACACCATTGTGAAGAAAGCCAGACAGCGTCTCTACCTTCTCAGACGCCTCAGAGACTTTAAGCTCCCTCTCAAGGTGCTCAGGAACTTTTACACCTGTACCATCAAGAGCATCTTGTGTGGGAGCATCATCACCTGGATGGGAAACTGCACCAGGCAGGACTTCATGGCCCTCAAAAGGGTGGTCTGTTCTGCAGAGCGGACCATCAGAACCCCTCTCCCCAACCTGCAGGACATTTACACCAAACGTTGCAGGTTAAGGGCGAAGAAGATCCTTAAACAGCCCAGTCACCCCGGACACGCTCTTTTCACTCTACTGCCATCAGGTCGGCGTTTCCGATGCCTGAGGACAAAGACTGAGAGGCTGAAGAAGAGTTTGTACTGTACTTTACTCACATAGCTGCTCAATATTGTAAATGTGTGTGTGTGTATATATACGGGCTACCCCCCTCTAAGTTTTACACTCGGAGTCTACAGTCTATATTTTATATGTTATATTACAGTCTATATTTTATATGTTATATTACAGTCTATATTTTTTTTTTTTTCTTAGTTTTATATTTACACTTATATTGTTTACATTGTGTGTTATGTGCAATCACTACTGTTTTACTGTAGTAGTATTTTGTTTTTCTTTACTACTGGCTGCAGGTACAAAGAATGCATTTCACTGTGCATTGTACTATGTATAACTGTGTATGTGACAAATAAAAACCTCTTATCTATACATTCTAATGTTACCAGCAGCTGTTTGCCTTACTGCCGGCTATGAGGTTACCTGTGATGTTGTAATGTAATGTCAGAGCTAGCTTTAAACATTGAAACAACTCCTTTCAACTCCATTCTTTTATCACCCAGTATACCCACTGCCCTGCATTACTCAACCTGCCAGAAGCTTTTAACTAAGCTCTTACCTCAGCTGCTTGCACACCTTCTTGTCTGCAATTTAATAAAATCCTTAAAGCTGCAGTAGGTAATTATAATAAAAAATATTTTTGTCAAAAAAAAAAAAAAAAAAGCAGGTTCCTCTGGCTCCTCCTAGTGCTCCTGATGGCACTTGCAATAATCCACCGGGCCTGAACAAAAACCACCAATCAGACCCAAGAAAGATGGAAAGCTTTGGGTTTGAGGCTTGAAGATAGTTAATTGCTGAGTCTCATTCCCAGCATCCATATTTGACAACCTGGGAATGAGACTCAACAATCAACTATTCTTCTTGGCTCTGATTGGTTGTTTTCACTCAGGCCTGGTGGACTCTCACAAATGGTATTACGAGCACAAATTAACACTAATTATGTGTCACATGTACTACTGTCAAGATATAGTGACATAAGTATAAGATATGTTATTTTTATAAAAGTTACCTAAATACATTTACTTAATCAGAGAACTGAAACTAATTTTATGTTTATTTTAATTTTATAAATGACCTTGAACAAATGAGGATTAAGAAATAAGTCAGTCAAGAATCACAGAATTGTTATGAATTACAGAATATGTTATGCTATTTGGTTTAAAATCACAATTTCAGTGAAATAACAAAATGTTCTCTTAATTTTCAAATTTGAACAAGAAGATGGAACACTAACCCACAGT